ATCCCAATTAAAATCCCCTAAAAATTCCCACAAATTCCATCAAAAATTCCCATAAATCCCAATAAACCCCCCCCCCCAAAAAACCCCCAATCCCATCAAAACCCATGATAAATAAATCATTAAAAATCCCAAATTATTCCCAAAAAATCCCAAATATTCCCAAAAATCTCCCGGCTTCGGCTTTCCTTCTGGGAATGAGGAATATTCCCAAAATTTGGGAATATGGAATTGTGGAAGGAATTCCCACCTTTCCCACAAACGTCAGATCTTCCGTGAAATTCCCTTCGTAGACAGATCCGTCCTCCAGGAACAGAATTCCCGAGCCCTTGGGATGAGGAAAAAAGTTGGGAATTCTTTGGGAAAAATTCCCAAGAGAATTCCAAGGAATTTTAGGAATTCTGGGAATTCAGGAAAGATATTTTAGGGAATTGTTTGGGAAATGATTCCAAGACAATTCCAAGGAATTTTTTCTTTGGGAAAATCCAAATTGATCTGATTGATATGATTGATTGGATTGACTGACAATTGATGTGATTGATTTGATATGATTGATATGATTGATCTGATTGATTTGATTGATTTGATTGATTTGATATGGGTGATTTGATTGATTTGATAGATTTGATTAATTTGATATGGTTGATATGATTGATCTGATTGATCTGATTGACATGATTGATATGATTGATATTTTATGATTGATATTATATAATTGATGTGATGATTTGATATGATTGATCTGATTGATCTGATTGATTTGATTGATTTGATTGATTTCATATGATTGATCTGATTGATTTGATGATTTGATGTGATTGATATGATTGATTTGATTAATTTGATCTGATTGATTTGATTGATGTGATTGATTTGATATGATTAATATGATTGATATGATTGATTTGATTGATTTGATTGATGTGATTGATTTGATATGATTGATATGATTGGTCTGATTGAAGTGGTTGATTCGATTGATGTGAGTGATGTGATTGATGTGATTGATTTGATCTGATAGACCTGACTGATGTGATTGATCTGATTGATATGATTGATCTGATTGATTTGATTGATACAATTGGTATTATATGACTGAAATTATATAATTGATCTGATTGATATGATTTATTTGATTGACATGATTGATATGATTGATGTGATTTATGTGATTGATTTGATATGATTTATTTGATTAATTTGATTGATTTGATTGATGTGATTGATGTGACAGATGTGATTGATATGATTTATTTGATTGATTTGATTGATTTGATATGGTTGATATGATTGATCTGATTGATTTGATTGATGTGATTGATGTGACAGATGTGATTGATTTGATCTGATAGATGTGACCGTTCTGATCGATATGATTGATCTGATTGATTTGATATGGTTGATTTGATTGATGTGATTGATTTGATTGATCTGATTGATCTGATTGATCTGATTGATTTGATTGAAACAATTGGTATTATATGACTGAAATTATATAATTGATGGAATTGATCTGATTGATCTGATTGATCTGATTGATTTGATTGATACAATTGGTATTATATGACTGAAATGATATAATTGATCTGATTGATATGATTGATGTGATTGGTATGATTGATGTGAATGATATGATTGATATGGTATGATTGATGTGATCTGATATGATGATATACTATGATTGATGTGATTGATCTGATATGATTGATATGATGTGATTGATGTGATCTGATATGATATAATGATTGATATGATTGATATGATGTGATTGATATGATTGATATAATGATTGATATGATTGATATGATGTGATAGATATGATTGATATGATTGATATAATGACTGATATGATTGATATTATATGATTCATATGATTGTTATGATATGATTGATTAGGTAGATATGATATGGTTGATATGATTTATATGGTATGATAGATATGATTGATAAGATTGATGTGATTGATATGATATGATACAATATGATACGATACATTACATTGATATGATTTGATATGATTTGATATAATTTGATATTACTTGATTGATATGATAGATACAATTCGATATGATACGATTGATATGATATGATACGATTGATATGATTGATAAGATTTATATGGTATGATACATATGATATATGATACAATATGATTGATATGATTGATATGATTGATGATTGCTATGATATATGATTGCTATGATAGGATTGAGATGATATGATTGATATGATTGATATGATATGATTGATATATGACAGATATATTTTGATGTGATATGATATGATGAGGTATGATATAATATCATATGATATATGATATGATATATGATATGATATGAAATATAATATGATATATGATATGATATGATATGATATGGTATGATATGATATGATATGATATGATACAATATGATTGATATGATGTGATAAAATAAGATACGATATCATTGATTTGATAAGGTATGATATGATATGATTGATATGATATGATATGATATGATATGATACGATATGATTGATATGATATGATACGATACGATACAATACGATACGATACGATTGATATAATACGATACGGATGATATGATATGATATGATATGATATGATATGATACAGTTTGATATGATTGATATGATACATAAGATATGATATGATATGATATGATTGATACGATTGATATGATTTATATGGTATGATAGATATGATATATGATATGATATGATATGATATGATATGATATGATATGATATGACATGATATGATATGATATGTTACAGTATGATTGATATGATCTGATACAATATAATTGATATGATAGATATGATATATGATTGATATGATTGATGATTGATTTGATTTGATATGATTGATATGATGTGATACGATATGATACGATATAATTGATTTGATAAGGTATGATATATGATTTCTATGATATGATTGATATGATTGATATGATTGGTATATGAGATGATATGATTGATATATGATATTATATGATTGATATGATATGATACAATATGATTGATATATGATATGAGATATGATATTATAGGAGATATGAGATATGAGATATGAGATATGAGATATGAGATATGAGATATGAGATATGATATGATATGATATGACTGATATATGATTGATATGATGTGATATGATTGATATGATGTGATAAGATTGATACAATACGATACGGTACGATATGATATATGATATGATACGATATAATTGATATTATGTGATCTGATCCAATCTGATCTGATTGATACAATCCGATATTATAGCGCCTATTCCTTTGGGAATCCATTCCCAAATATCCATTCCCATCCCCCTCCCGGAGCAAAACCTTTCCCTGATCTCCAACCCTCTTTATCCTCTGAGATTTAATTCCGGACCGGAACCTCCCCCCGGCCCCACGCAGTGAATTCCCGGTGCCGGGGATTCCCGGATTCCATGGAAATCCTGGACTCACCACCATTTTATCCGCCTGGAACCTCCTCTGGTAGCAGAGCCCCGAGTGCGTCACCACGATTCCGTCTCCGTGCCTGCGGTCATCCCACCACATCCCGATGTACCTCTCCCCTCTGGAATGCCAGCAAAACCCCGTCCATGGATTTTTCCTTGCTTTTCCCGCCTCTCCCCGTCGGACCCGTCCCTCCAGGGTTATCCCGCGCAAACGGAACTCCTGGAACGTTTCCCAAGGAATTCCAGCCTTACATCTCCGTGGATCCATCCCAAACGTCCAGGATGGATCCCAGCGATCCCGAAGCTGTCCCACACCTCGGATCCATCCCGCTTTTACCTCTCCTTGTCTTCCCAGACTCCGTATCCGCTCTTTTTGTCCTTTTCCCAGTGGCCGGTGTATTTGAAGGGACGCTGAGCCGAGGAATTCTCCAGGATCCCGAATCCGTGGCGCGCGTCATCCTTGAAATAACCCTTGTAGACCTGGCCGTTCCCGTACCTGCCGGAAAATCCAGGAATATTGGATTCCGTCGGGAATATTTCTACTCCTGGAGTGGAAATCCAGGGAAGCAAGGAGCTCAAGCTCATCCATCCCAAAATATTCCAGCTATTTGGATTGGATCCTCGATGGCTGCAACACCCATAAATCCCAATAAAAATTCCCACAAACTCCTCCAAAAATTCCCATAAATACCAATAAATTCCCAACAAAAATTCCCACAAACTCCACCAAAAATAACCATAAATCCCAATAAAAATTCCAAAAAGTGGACATTCCCGGATTATCCAAGGAATCAATGCCAGGGCTTGGAATTGCTCTGGTGAATCCAGGCTGGAAAATTGGATCTGGAGCTTGGATCCAGCTCCTTCCCTGGACTGGGAAAATGGGATATGGGGAAGGAATTCCTGGTTGGGATGGAATTCCCAGAGCAGCCATGGCTGCCTCTGGATCCCTGGAATGTCCAAGGAAAGGTTGGACGGGGTTTGGAGAATCTGGGATGGTGGAAAATCCCTGCCCATGGAATGGGATGAGAACGGGATCATCCTTAAATTCCTAAAATTCTGGAATTCTAAATGCCCACCGAGCATTCTGAGATTTCAGGGAATATTTCAACATCCCTTTCAATCCCTGGAACCCCTTTTCCCTAGAATTTTAAATTCCTGGAATCCCCTTTTCCCTGAAATTCTAAACCCATGGAACCCCATTTTCCCAGGAATTTCAAGCCCTGGAATTTTAAATCCCTGAAACCCCCTTTTCCCTGGAATTTCAACTCCCTGGAACCCCCTTTTTCCCAGGAATTTAAAATCCCTGGAACCGTCTTTTCCCTGGAATTTTAAATCCCTGAAGCCTCCTTTTCCCTGGAATCCAGCCCTGGAATTTTAATTTTCTGGAATTCCCTTTTCCCTGGAATCCAACTGTGGAATTTTAATTCCCTGGAACCCCCTTTTCCCTGGAATTTTACATCTCCGGAACCTCCTTTTCCCTGGAATTTTAAATCCCTGGAATTCCCTTTTTCCCTGGAATTCCGAGCCCTGGAATTCACTTACTCACAGATTCCGTAGCCGCTCATCCTGCCCTGCTGCCAGTGGCACTTGTAGCAGTCGTAGCGATCCTCGGAGCGCCGCGGGACCAGGCGGATCCCGAACCTGCCGGGAACACGCGGAATGCTCAGGGGGGAAATTCCAGCAGGGAAAATTCCAGCATGGAAAAGGTCAGGATGGAAAATTCCAACATGGAAAATTCCAGCAGGGAAGATTCCAGCAAGGAAAATTCCAGTCATGGAAAATTCCAGTGTGGAAAATTCCATCACCGAAAATTCCAGCATGGAAAACATCAGGATGGAAAATCCCAACATGGAAAATTCCAGTGGGGAAAATTCCAGCATGGAAAATTCCTGCAGGGAAAATTCCTGCAGGGAAAAATTCCAGCAGGGAAAAATTCCAGCAGGGAAAATTCCATCACTGAAAATTCCTGCAGGGAAAATTCCAGTGTGGAAAATTCCATCACCGAAAATTCCAGAAGGGAAAATTCCAGTGGGAAAAATTCCAGCAGGGAAAATTCCAGCATGGAAAATTCCAGCGGGGAAAATGTCAGCAGGGAAAATTCCAGCATGGAAAAGCCAAGTAGAAATTCCAGCATGGAAAACAACAGAAAGGGAAAGTCAAACATGGAAAATCCCAGCATGGAAAATTCCAGTGGGGAAAATTCCATCACCGAAAATTCCAGCATGGAAAACATCAGGATGGAAAATTCCAATATGGAAAATTCCAGCGGGGAAAATTCCAGCATGGAAAATTCCTGCGGGGAAAATTCCAGCAGGGAAAAATTCCAGCAGGGAAAATTCCAGCGGGAAAAATTCCAGCAGGGAAAATTCCAGCGGGGAAAATGTCAGGATGGAAAAATTCCAGCATGGAAAAGCCAAGTAGAAATTCCAGCATGGAAAACATCAGGATGGAAAATTCCAGCAGGGAAAATTCCTGTAGGGAAAATTCCAGTATGGAAAATTCCAGCATGGAAAATTCCAGCAGGGAAAATTCCAGCAGGGAAAAATTCCAGCATGGGAAAATTCCAGGATGGAAAATTCCAGCGGGGAAAAAGTCAGGATGGAAAATTCCATCCTGACCTTTTCCATGCTGGAATTTT